GCTAATTGGAGACAATACTATTCAAACGTTAGCATGGAACAAAAGCTGGTACATAATTATGTGCAAAGAGTGGGAGGATTACAAGAAATGTTTCAATTTAGTACATGAGCCACAGCTGAAGAAAGGCTAAAACAATAACCTTGAAAACAAGCATTAATAAGCTAATGTCACAGCACAAGAAGAATAAAGGTGATGATGCTCATCTAGCAAGCCAAAGTCTGCCAAACTTTCACAAGACACACACATACATTTATGCACAGTATGTGCATACGTGTGAAAAATAATGAAATGTAGCTTTAACATTAGCTAAAAGAAACAAGACTTCACCTGCAGACTGGGTATGACAAAAGATCTTACTGAAATAGCATCACTGTTTACGACTCATTTGGGAACAATTTTGACAATAAATGGGGAACACACGTGTATGTTTTTTTTTTTTGTTTTCTTCTTTTCCACTTACAAATACACTTCAGTAAAACAAATGTTCCAGTGTAGTTTCCACTGCCTGTGCTGGAATTAATAATTGCTAGTTGTTCCTGAGAGACAGAAACAGCAACCTACCTCACCTAACAGTGATGTTGTAAAGAAAAACTCATTAATATTGTATTTATAGAGCACTCAAATACCCCAGTGAAAAGCATCATGGAAGAGTCTAAGAGGAAATTAATCATTCTGCATTCAGTGCAGGATCTGACGGAGGAGCAGTGTATGCCTGGAGATATACACTAAATACGAAGATAGGATCATGCCCATTACCCACAGAAATCATATCCCCTGAATGAGCTCCATCTGCCTCAGGCATTAAAATGTTTGATTATATTCTCATTCAATAAAATGGAAAAAAAACTTGCAGTTACCTCATGTGGTGAGGTTAGATCAAGCAGCAGTCAGCTATTCTATGCAAAATACTGCACCTAATATTGTAATTAAAGACTGGGTCATAAATACACATTTTCGGGCTGTTAATTCCTAATTTCACAATGTTTAGGTCTGCTACCAAATAATGCTCCACAGCGCAATAGTTATTAGCCAACACACATTATCACAGCACCCAGAGGCTCCCATCATCACCACAGCACTGGTGGGCTGTGTCTTAGAGCACTAAATCAAACCATATTCCATGCTGTAGTCACTAGACTCCTTCCATAATCAGGCTTCTCTGCTTCACAACTGGCTCAAGTCATGAAAGCAAAGACATGACAAAACAGGCTTCCACAGTGCCTGAGCAACCCACAGATTCACGGCTAGCTCAAATATTTGCACTAACGTTGCACCTGTAAATTAATTATCCATTTTATTTTAGTCTGTATCAGTTCACTTCTGCTCTCCTGTCCATATAAATGTGCTTTATCTGATCCCATCATCTGAAAAGAGATCTCAACTTTCTCCTGCTGTTAATCAGGGGACAGCGCTGGGCAAGGCAGGAAGGATATGTAAGGAGGACTCAAAGATATAGCCCTGGGTTGGAAAGGTTTTATGAGAACTGTCTTCTACAGCAGTTCAGAATTGAGGAGAGGCAAGGGGGCTCCAGGCATTTCTGTCTAGAAAAAAAAAAGTATCTGCTCGTACAATCTGGCTGGCCCAAGTACTCTTCAAAATCTGTGCTAAGATGTGGCTGTGCTGTTATCCATCATGATTCCTAGCCCACAAAAGCACTGTTTGAGACGGTACAGTCAACCAAGTTTAGTTACTAGTAGTTACTAGTACTTTAGTTACTACTCCTTCAAGTAATATAGGCCATGCCACAGTATCTGGACTGTGACTTTTGCCAGGGCTCCTTAAATGGGGAAGATGCATCACATGAGGATACAGAGTGAGGTAAGCAGCCATGGGCTGTGGAGCTGCAGGAGATGTGTGGGGAGACCTAGATGCAACAGCCTCAGAGGCTCCAGGGCAGCACATCAATGCATTTATCCTGGCACCAATATCTGAATTATACCTCATCCCAACCTCAGGAACCAGCTCACATGGCACAGCACGGGAGTGCCAATCATGCAGTCCGGTGACAAGGAAAGCAAGGCTCTTCCCCCTCCTCTGTGCAGGAGCTACCACCTCTTGAGTTGGCTAGGACAGCCTACTCAACCCCCAACCTGGAGATGGAGACAGCCTGGCTTTGCAAGTCATTTACCTTGGAAAGAAGAGGTTGGGCTACACTTACCAAGCAAGGTGGGCAGAGACTCAGGAGTGCAAGAAGCTCCTAGAGCCCCACAAGCTACATGATTTCCCTCCATATGGCTGGCCATGGCTCAGGCTCAAAGGAGAAATGCTCTTCAGAACAGTCTGCTCAGTTTATTAGCTAGTGAACTACACAGTAATGTATAGACCCTCACCTGCCTAATTCAGGCCATACCACAAGTGAGAGTTTGGCTATTTTAGTGAAAATTATTCTAGTTCTTCATTTTGAGCAAGCTTCAAAGCTTGGCTGAGCTGCTAATATATTCCTGCCTTCTTTCCCACAAAAGCAACACTTCTCATAAAAAAAAGAAAAGAAAAAAAAAAGAACATGCATCTTCTTCCTCAAATGCATCTGATCAGGGAAAAAAATATATGTGTGTGTATATATATATATTTATTTACTTATATAAAACTTATAATTGTGAATATACAGGTCCAAAAGAAAATGCAAGGTTCTATTTCAAGAATCAGTTTCTAAGGATGCAGCTGTCTGGAGCCTCACAAGAAGAGACTTAATAATTTTAATAGACAGTTTTTTTGGATAGGAATAGCAAAGGATATTAAAGTGTCTGTCATCAGCTAAGACAACAATAGTAGGTAATAATAACTTTTTTTCCTGGAGATGTGGAAAAAAGTCTAATACAGTTATGTTTTCCCTTGACTGTGTTATTATTATTATTGAACTAATGGAAATTGAGCTACATTTTTTGTGTGTTTTCTTTTTTAAGATAGCATACAAGGTTCACTTCTATTTGACATAAGCCAGGCATACAGTGTCAGACAAACCACAACATAGCTATTTATACAAGGTCCACTCATTTCAGCATAGGAGACTATATCTGACATGCTAATTGAAAATGGCAAGTTAAAATTAACTTACTCATTTTCAGAAATGCAGAAGGAAATATTTAGCTAGTTTTCCTGGAGTAAAAAAAACAAGAAACAAACCTTAATGCAGGCAAAAGACTTGCAACAGAGTTGGAAATCAGCCACATCATAATCAAGACATTCTAACAAGAATATTAGAATTTATAAAAAAATAAACAAACCAAATGCAGTATGACACAGAAATCCTTCATGATGAGAACTGCAAGAAGTTTAAAAACTAGTCTTTGAAAAAGGGCATTATTACACAAAGATACGTATAATTACAAAGATCAAGGATGAGGAAAGCAAGACTCTCAAATTTACTAGATAAAAGTGATATCCTGGAATTCTTTGTAGCTCAGAGTACTTAAATATATTGATATCTTCATTTCAGTATTCTAAAACTTCCTTTTTCATAAATCTGAACAAGACATGAGTAAAATTGAAGCTAACAAAATTGTAAAAGCCTTATATTTTGCTTATTAGTTAAAAAAAAGCTCAGAGGTCTGATTAATTCCAACAGAACTGAAGGAATATGGGTCCTTTTTCTAGCTATGAATTTTTACTCACCCCTTTCTGGAAGTGTGCAGTTTCTGATATTGTGTACTTTAAAAAAATGACAGACAAAATATTTATTGCCAGGTATGTGAATATAAATATATAGACACTACCTCTAACCTTGCCTGATTGGGAAGAATTTAAGATATTAGAATCGCAATTCTGTGAACTTGGAAAAGAAACCACTCTCACAAAGATGGCTTCATTGATTTTGATAATAAAATATACATTTATTTTTCAGTTCATCAGAAGATAATTCTTTATTTTATAGATGTTTTACAAAGCTACAATGTCACTGCTTACCAAAGAAGCGATACGACTTTTGGATAGGTAATATAAATAATGAAAGTCCTGGAATAGGCAGCATCAGCAGGTACTTCATTGTAATAACATGTCAGCCTTGAGGAAAAGATGATTTATTTAAGGGACTAGGAACTCCATCAATAACTTTTTTTTTTATTTACCTAGTCAACAGAGTACAAGGAACTTAATTAAACATTTTTCTTTTGTCAGAAAAAGGTATTGCTTATTCATTACCATGTACAAACATGCCATATTAGGATATTGCTGCATGCTACTTTCTAAAACAACTGCTTTGATTCATTAATTTTTTTGAGTTCAATTTGTGAGTTATGTACTAGAATAACACATGTTAGACATGAATGCCACTAAATTCTGCAGGTTCTTTTTTCCATTTAAATATACATCCTACCCTAAAGATCATACTTTTATTATACAGAAAGCGTATTAATATTATGCAATAAAATGTATTATTATTAATCAATAAAAGATTAATAAAACTTGTAAGAGATTCTTTTAACAGTTCTTGAATTCTCTTTGTTGTTGATGTGAAACATCTTTATGTAAAGTCTGTTTAGTCATGTAGAGTCTAAGTGTAACCTCTCTGCTTATGGATTTTAACCTTTGAAACAAGGGTTATGAAAGCACAGACAGTGGAAGGAACCTGGAGAAATACACGTAGCACTGAACTTATGCAGTTTTTCTAGTGCTTTCTCATGAATACCATTGATATGTTGCTTTATTTTATTTTGGAATTCCTCAGACTAGGAAACTGTCTTGTTACACAGCATAAGAGCAGTCTCTTAGTTGTATTATCTACCATTAGCAAAGTTTCAATGTGTTTAAACATCAAATCACTGCACCACCCTTTTACCAATTCTAAGCTGCCAGCATTTGCTCTAACTACAATGACAGAGTTTCAGTTGGTTTAGAAATTCTGAGCCAAAGAAATCTGAAGAATTATATGCTGCACTACTAAACCAATATGTGTGTTTTTAAAACAATAGTTTGTGGTTTTCACATCACCTGACTCTGAATTTTAAGCAACAGGAAGGTAATATAGCATCAATGGCATAACAATGTAAAGACCTTGGTCTTACCCTTTGTTTTCAAGTCGTTTAATACCTTTGATTCCATGGGCAGTTTATCACTCACTAATTTTATCTCAATATTTCGGGATGCCAGTTCTAGCAATTTTTCAAAAAGACGTTGGCCCTGGGAAGAACATTAAAGGAAAGCAGAATTTGTGAGATACAGAACTGTTCAAGTAGCACATCAACAAACTAAAATATCATGTTAAAACAGACAAATACATTGCAACAGCTAAGTAAGTAAGTTTCTAAATGTGATGGAATCTACCTTAGATGTTAGCAACACAAATAATATTTCCTGGAGAAAGAAAAGCCAAACTTTCCCAGGCTGGACAATACCATTCATGACATCTGGCACTGCTTCACCCTTCATTCTCGGTGCCAGATGCTACATAAACGTATTTCTGCACTACCTTTCTTCTAAATAAATGTTTGCTTTTCTGTTTTTGCTTTGTGTTTTTTTTTTTTTAATTTGGACAAAAAGTGTAAGGAAAAAGACTTTGTTGCACTTATTTTGTAATTTCTTTTTTTTTTTCTTTTTTTTTTTTACATCATTCTGGTGCCATCCAATAGAAAATTACACCAGGAAGAAAAATAATAATCTACATGTATGTCATGTACTTTTGCTTTCTATACTACTTTATGATTTAAGCCCTAATGCTAACACACAACATGATACGGACTCTTATGCCAGACAAGAGGCATGTTAAATCACAAATCAATTAAGGTATTTGTTTCATTTGAACAAGCTTTAAAATTTGGTCTCATTTCTCCAAGTCCATGAAATAAAGGAAAGGAGTAGGACCTCTGATCGCATAGTAGATTTTGACTCTTTAGACGTGGCGTAGTAGTTGAAGTCAAATAAAATGTTCAATTAGAGGTATTTAAATACATATGTCAAGTATAAAACAGCTTTTCTTCAACTGCAGAGTTGGAGACTGTTTCCCCTACTGCTGTTCTTTATACTACAGCAGATACCAGTTACAACTGGTGCTAGAATACACAAAACCTCTGGCTTTAATCAGCTGACGAAGGCTCTGCCCTTTATAGACACCACACTTGGGACTTAAAGGCAAAACCTATCACGTAAAGCTGACAGCAAATCAAAAATGCAATAGATACATGAACTTAAAAACATAAGCAGGTAAAAAATAAAATTTCCCATGGAACCATGGTAGGCAGTTTCCTGTACAAACTGCTGCTGCTGCAAAAAAACCTTGAAAGGCTCTTTCGGTGCTGTGGAATCATGGAGTTTTACTCCAACACACACCTAAACTGCTTTCAGTGTTTCTTTGGGGAGCTTAAATATGGTTCTAATTCAAAGTACTTATGCAGCACTGACTAACACAACCCCGGGCGCAACCCCTGGGGACAGGCACCCCAGGCCCTGTGTTCACCTCTGGCTGCTCTGACAATCCCCTCCGAAAGTAGCTCTTCCCCCAGAGGCAGGAGAAACCCATTTCTTAAGACTCACTATTCCAGAGTCTCGAGTCCAATATTCAAGTGTACCTGGCAAAATAAAAAATGCCTGGCCTTTCACAAACCAGATTTCCTGGAATTACAGAGCAGCTGGAGACTTCAATGGAAACACAGAATTATTGTTTATGTTTTACTTTTGATATGTATGACTGCTTGCTGGCTCAAACTCACAGCTCTTTCCGGGATGCACAGAGATCTCATAGCCAGCATACTGCTGCCACAGCAAAAGCAAGAGACAATAAGGGGGATGCCTTCTGTGTCTTGTATCCATGCAGAAGTCAACCCATCTAGCCACTGATTAACGCTCATGGCCCACGTCCTCCTTCAGGCATGTGGCAAGTCAAGAAGAGCGCATTTCTCTTGTGTTCAAACAGACAGCCGAAAAAAAATGTTAATTTTCACTTTTTTTGTTACAACAAACTACAAGGGATGGAAAGAACAGACACTGCATACAGGATTATGTAGCAGCTCCGTCTCAATCCAGAAGGACCCTTTTGGGTGCCCCCGAAAGGAGTGCTAGACTCTAGCTGAGCAGAGGATCCATAGTCACCAGGCTGGCCCCCTGCACGTCCAACCCAGCCCTCAGCCAGCCCTCAGCAGTCCTGTTTCTCCTCCAAGCTGACAACAGGCTCCCCAGGTGCTAGATTGTAGGCAACTGCTCACCCAGGGTTCTACTGAAGAGGCCAGCAGCTGTTGAGCTGCATTAGTTTCATCTTTGTGGAAATGAAATCAGGGAAAATTAGGGGCTAATTAGGGACTAAATTGGCATACAGTAATCCATGTAGGAACTGCAACTCAGGTTCTACATGTCAATTTAATTTACTAAGCAGAAAGAAAAACTTAAGTTATTTGTCAAACCTGGTTTTGTGTAGAAACATAATAGAAAGCTGCAGCATATAAGAATAAACATGGAAAAAGTATGAATGGCTTTGATGGGAAATTATTTGAATAATCAATATGAATTAAACCCTAATGCGCTAACTAGTCTATTAGAGAAATGCTTAGAAAGCAAATATGCAAAGGTGATAAACTGTTTCGTGGGATGACTCTTTGCAATCTTCTCCAAAGTAATTATTTATGGACATTATTGCTACTCCTGCCTACACAAGAACATATTTATGTACGATTTACAAAATCTTTGGTAGGCTAATTCTATTAGCATCTCTTCCTAAACAAGCTTGGACTTTCTGTACTGATTCTAGTTTGTCAAAATTGTCTTACATAGCAAAAAAAAAAAAAAAAAAACAAGATATGTGGAGTTCTACCTAATCTTGTGTCTAACACAGCACTGTTGATGGGCCACCAGGGCCACTCTTACAGCCCATACTGTCAACTCAATGGCCCATCTTATAGACCATTTGGAGGGGTGCCTCTCGCTCATATAAAAAGAACATTTCTGATAATACATCTCTTTTCCTATTGGGCACATCAGAAACAATGCGCTTACTATAGCTTTTTTTTTTTTTTTTGCCTAAATATGCTACCTGTGTTCCTACATGGTGAAACCTCAAATTCATAAAACATTCAAAGCACACAAAAGTAGTGATTCTATAACCAGCACAAGCTGCTTAAGAGCAGAAATGCAGTCACTGTGAAGATGTATTTAGAAAGGTATAGAAAAAACACCACCCAGTACCAGAATTATAAAGAATTCCCTCTTTCCAGCGACTATAAAAATACATAAATTTTGCTTTAAAAAAAATCTGTATGCACAGTAGTAAAGGAAGGTATTAGGTATTCTTCCCTCATTGTTTCTTCCCCATTGTTTCTTCCCTCATTGCTGTCTTTTTGTCCATTAATATTAATCTGAGGTTAAGTTTCTGTACTTTCTGACATGTTTACTTTTATTTTACCGGTTTGTTCTATGGAAAGAGGAAAAAAAAAAAAAAGCACCTGGGAGAATGTCTGAAGAGTTTTGTCCCTGCTGTCAGTGTGTTTGAAACGCGCCTGCCGAGTTGGCAGCCTCGTGCTGTCATCCAGAGCACGCGGCCTTTGCGAGGCGCTGCCCAACCGCCGCGGCGCTACGTGACGGCGTTCCGGATCAGCAACACGTGCTCAGCCTGCACGCGTACAGCACCTGCATTTTAACCAACTATAAATCTGCCTACCCCGATAAAGTACTCCCCTGCACATTAGCAGGAGTATTTCAGAAAAAAAACACCTACTGAACACAATAAAGCAGGATGTAAAGCAGATATGCAAAAGGAGTGAGTTGACATTCAACTAGAAGCTTTCTCTTTAAATTACCATACATCTGAAACATCAGTCTCAACTGTACACACCGCAGCAAACCGGTGCTTTAAAATAAATAAATAAATATAAGTTATTATTACAAAAAAGGCCTGAAACTGTCTCCGAAAACAATTTTAACACCCACTGGGCAGAATAACTCTAGGTCTGAGTGATTTCTCTTAGCAGGATGCGCTGCTCAGTAAAAATAAAATAGGGGCAACACGAACACAAAAATGTTCTATTTACTGAAGCAGTCATCTAATATTAACTATTGTGCCTCTGGGTAACTTGGGTTCCTAAGGTTTATTCAATGTTTAGCAGTTTTGTTTCTGTGGAAAGAAAAAGCTTACTTCTAGAGTTTTCTTCTAAATTTATTCTATATAATTCTACCAATATTTTCTAAAGTTGCCCTATGGTCAAGTCTTTAGGAGCATCTTTAAAATATCACTAAAATCACAGAATACAGCCAGAAGCAAATAGCAAATAAATCACTGAATCCTAAATTTAGCTTTGCCATTTAATGCAGAACAGAGAAACTCAAATGCTCTCCTCACATACTTCTAGCTAACTTATCTAATGAAAAGGGAGCGAATGTCAATTTTTGGAATCTCAGAGTTCAAAAAATGGCTTCTACAGGCATTTTTTTTTCTACATCTTGTTTTCTACCAGCTGCCTCTGGGGAATGCCTTCATTTGGAGAGAGCTGGTTGTGTAAGGAGGAGCTTACAGAAAAGAATATAAACTAACATATTTGTAGCTGATTTCTGCTGCTCACTATTAGGTTGTTAGACCTTCTTATCTTCCTTGTACTTATTTACATATTAAAATAATTTTCAAAGAAGGGTACATAAACCAGCCAACTAAGGACCTTCAGTGACACACATCTGAAAGCAACACACAACTCTCACCTTCAGAAACTGCATTACAAGACTGGACTTGACTCATTTCAGGTGGAGAGGGAGGAGACTTCCTCCATCCATTCATTTGGGAGCTGCCCAATAGGTAAACAGAGAGAGTCAAAGTCAGAACCACTACTTTTTGTGTGATCATTGCAAAAAAGTGCAGCCAGATCCACCCTCTGACTATCTATCTTATGGTCATCCAAATACCCATGCAGGGAGAACTGTGCCATACCTACTGCAGTGTCAGTAAACTACAATGGGATTAATCCTTATTACTTAAAATTAAATTTGTGAGGACCATCTTGTTGGAATTATATAAACATCATTCTTAAAAGTTTCTAAGACGTAGCATTAAAGAATGAGGACAACAATTGCTTGTGAATACAGGTTTTAAGTTATCCCAGGTGTCACCAAATCATCATACATCTTGACTGGCAAACATAGGATCAATATTCTCCCCAACTAATTCAGGGAGTAGAATGAGATGAGCTAGAGGAAATCAATTGTGAAAAATCTCGAAAATGGTGTTATCTTGGGTTCATCTTACCCTTCCTTCCATTGGGAAGATAAGCTATCTTCAAAATTTTACTTTCTATTATCCTCTGATATCTCTAAGTATTAGACTGCCACAAATGGAGTCACACACTCGCACTCTGAACGCATCTCCAAACCTGCCTTATAATCCAAAGACATCTCCTTTGAGATCTTGAAAAATGCATATAGTTGACAACACAAAGGTGCCGAAATGTGTGCTTCTTTTCAGCGAGAAAAGCATGTGTGCAGAAACCTGTTCAGTGTTTCACCACACACAGACACGTTCATTTGACCTCCGAAGCTGGGGAAGGCATGCAGACTGTGCCAGTATGAAAGACGGCAGCATCGTGCGCCTGCATTTGAAGGCTCCAATCCAGCAAGTCCCATAAACTCAGACACCTGGGCAGAGCAACTGTGACCAGGATAGCTCAGTCAGAAATTACTGTTTATTTAGGACAATAACAACAACACATGAAGAGGCACCTGTCAAGAAGATGAGATAATCTTGCCACAATGAAAATAAAGAAAAATCCAGCAGCAACTTCCAGAAGTTTATACACACATAGGGAAAAGAGTTCTGTATACTTATATATCTGTAATATCATGTCTTACATAAATAGGTATGGTACGCATATGTATAAATGTCTGTGTATATACACACACACGCTCACACAAAATGTAATTAAACCAAGTAAATTAAGAAAAAAGCAGTTTCACCTATTCATCTATTCCCTTTCAAAATGCACATCTGTTAAAGTGCTCTTGTCAAGAAGTTTGGTTTGCGGTGTGCCTTCACTATTCACAAAACACACACTGCTAATTATACAAGAGTATCCATATAACAAAACCCCCCAAAAAAACAAACAAACCCCCCCCCCCAAATCTCCTCTGTCTCTAACAGAGGAGCAAGTAAAATTTACTCATTATGTATCACAATACCTAAATTTTTGCATCTCTCCCCATTACCCTCCCTAATACTTTTCCTATTTGTAGGCATTCATCTTTCATTTTACAAGGAAGTTTGATTTCCAGAGATGGAAATGGAGAAAACCAATGCATCTACGCCCCTTTTCTTCCTCTCTTTTTCATACGCTAAGCTACGCACACATCCTCCGGGGCAGAGATTTCTAAGAAATGTAGCATTTTTGACAGTTTCTTTGGTGAGTCAACTGGCCAATTAACAGCATAGCTTTTTTAGGATAAATAGACAAGCCTGATAAAAAGATGTATCAGCTGCTCAGACCACACTGTTGTATAATTGAGAAAAAACTAGCACACTAATGACCCTCAATAAAAGCCACTACTTTCGTAAAACCACCGACAGACAGAAATTGATAACCAGAGTAGAATATTATGAAAAATACATTTCATTTTTACGTCTTAAACTTCACTTTTGAAGACAAAGAGGCAAATCCTCTTCTTATGTTTTTCTTCTTCCTTTTCCTGTTCTGACATTCATTTAGCAATGCCTTATAGCTTTACTTTGCATGAGAATGTGGTACAGTGAATAGCTTTGATGCTTAACTACTGAAATCCCAATTTCCAGTTTGCTATTTTTGTTCTCTGTTTGGGATTTGTTAGGCTCTGCTGGTTTTGAAGCAAATGACATGTTAAATTTTTTTCTGATGAAAACTTTTTTAAAAGATTCATGCGCATACTAACTCATGCACATCCTGGGAACATCTAAGACACTATCTCTTTGGATTCATCTGCTTGAATGACAGTACATGGATTTTAAATTTCTTAGGCAATGAATTTAAATAAAGCTTAGCTACATAATTACATTGTGAAAAATCTCAATATTTTGATGCTCAAAAAAATTCACAAAGTATATTCCAATATTTATAAGCATTCTGAAAGGTTTGCACTACATTTTCCATTTGGCTGCTCACTTCAGGTTTTCATTCATTTAAATGGATATTCTAAGGCGGTAACTTGTTCCGAAGAAAAGGGAATGTACACCCTTTAACTAGGCTACAGCCTCTTTTGGAAAAAGTAGAATTCCATTAATGACTGAAAATACAGGCCATCTTTGGTTGCTCGGAGTACCAGGCATTGTCTATCATAGAGCAAAAGGCATTTTTACTGCAGAGCATCAACAGAAAGAGAGAGGAAACTAGAAAGTTTGTGGTATAGTATAGCAGATTCCTTTATTGCTAGCCATCGTTTTAACCCATTTCATGTTGGCTAAGCTGCCTTTCTTCTGGCCAAAACCTAATGTTGTGGAAAGGAAGAGACTCTCTGCTTGTCTGTTCTGCAATACCTTAGTCTGACAGCGTGGTTCTAAGCGTAAACTTGCCCCTACCACATTTCTAACAGGACTGCTTCTAAGAACAAAGCATTAGCTGCCACAGCATTATGCAAAAAATGCCTATCTCATTTGCAAATTTTCTTTTTTTTTTCCTACTGCATTTAACTGAAGAAGTCTTGAGCCTCCCCAAGGTTCATTTTCAAAAGGTACGGGAAACCATCTGGCATTACACTGCTCTTTCTAAGAGTAATTCTACCCTTCTATTTGAGTACAGGATTAATCCACATGATTGCTCTTTTATTTGACTGCTTGCACAAACCAGAAAATAAGTATTTAGATTTAGTGTTATTTCCAATTATGGATATGCCAATACAGAAATAATTTTGCAAGCTTCTTAGGATTACACAATACATTCTTTGTTAACATGAAAGTGATATGGACATATGTGTTTGATGTATTCCCTAGTCCAGCATGCCATGACTTAGCAGGAAAAACCTTACAAGATAATGTTTTTAGACTACCCAAATAAACAGGTCTGCTATGGAAAAGGACTATAGCTCTATAGAACTAATAACGGAAAAATAAAACAAACAAAACATTGTTAAACTCCCCCCCTTTTCTTAAGCTAAAACATACCTGGCATGCTGATGGATGACTGTGATTGAGGTCCCACTGGGAAGACACTATGTCAACAGACTTTTCAGCCATATTAAGCAAATTCATCCAGCCTTGGAAAAGAGACAAATGGGATGGTGCACTGTCTGAATAGTTGATCCCTTCAGGAATATTTTCCACAAGAGCAACCCTGAGAATAATAAGGAAAAAAAATAACCACTTAACAACAACACTTCTTGTCAGGAAAAAAAAAGTCCCAAATGGTAGAGAGTGTTATCTTTGGGGCCTGTGTTTCACAATCTGCTCCCAGGGGCTCTCGGCATTTGGTCGTCCTGCAGTTCACTCTGAAGTTGCCATGCTCTGCACTTCCAAAAACAATAAAAGGCGGAAAGGAACCACTGTGCATGCAGCAAAACAAATGAAAATTTTGGAGCTCTTCCCCATTAGCTGAAAACATAAAAGCTTACTTCTTATAACATAGTAACTCGGGGGTCGGTCCTTAAGGTGAGGATGGGAAAGAAATGAAACAGTCTCTTCTTTTTGCCACCTTTGTCCTTGATTTTTCCCTCTCTTTTGTCCCACAAGCAGCCCCATACACAGTGTGACAGAACACATAGTCCTGCTACTTTCTTAAGACTTTTCTGCTGTTTCATTATGCTGCAGTCTCTACATGTAATCAATTCTCTGTTACCACGTGCTCCAAGGTACCTAATTTCTCTGCTCTTGTTTACCTGCATAAAGCTCAGTGTGGGATCCAGCAATAAGGAGGAGGATTTCTTTTCTTTTTGAGTTCTGCTCATTCTGAAAGGTTCCTTAATCTCATTTTCTATATTATTCAAAACACATCCAAATAACATACACTCACATGCCTCCAGGATGGTAAATAATTGTGACAGCAAACTGACAGTTCAAAATGTGCCCCTCTATTTCAGGGAAAATGTGGTTTGTTCAGCATTCTGCCTCACTGCTTCACTGCTGTAAGTTGCATCAGCTAAAACTCCTCTCTACACTCACTAGAGGAGCTTAAAGAAAATCTCAAGTCAAAGAAGTCTATCAATTCTATGTTTAGGTAAACAGATGAACATTTCATCAAAAATATAACTTGTACAAGTTAGAGCCCAAATTTAAGCTCCCAATTACTGTGAATCATACAAATTGGATTTAGGGGAAAAACAACAACAAAACACACACACAGCTGTATCTAGGGATTCAGACAATTCTTGCTTTCATCATATCCAAGTACATCAAATATTTCCATCCTGTTTCTGTGCTTATTAATATAATTGTGCAAGTTTTTCAAGTTAACCCAATAAAAGTTTTTCACTCATTAATACTGAAGAAAAACCTAGAGAGAATCTGTGGTAAATATCACATTCTTTCCTGCCTGGCCCAAAAAACAGGCATAGCTCTGTCTTTCATCATAGAACTTATTTGAAAAATTGATTTCCTAAAAACGGTAATATGACATTGATATTGTTATGCTACAACTGCTGACTAGATTCTTCACAGCATAACTGGGACCTGCTAGTTTACCACCTAGCATTAAACTTACCTACTTCTGTCCAACAGGACATTAGTACATTAATGTAACATTAGTAAATAAATTGTAAAACATTTTAAATGTTTTTTAAAAAAATGGTTTTATGTCTTCAAGTACATTTTATTCTAAAACATTTTAATTACCTTGTTTATAACCTTTTCATAAGCAACTAGTGATCTAAAAAGTAAATGCTATTATAATTCCACTGACTGCCATACTTTTAAAAGTAAACCTACTTACTCTAACTCTCAAGGTTTTAGACTTATTTCTACAACATCTAATACAAATAGAGAACACAATAAAACTTTATTCAGATCTCTTGAAAGTCTAATCCGTTTCTCTGTGAATAATTAACATTGCTAATCAACAACAATTTTCATGTTCCGAATATTATTTTATAAGAAGGGCCACCTACTCTATTCAGAATAAGAGACTGAGGCACAGCAAAATAGGTAGTCTCTACAAGCGCAAACCAAAGCACAGAAGAATAACAAAACAAACTAATCACTAAAACAAGGTAAAAAGGTGGCAAAGATGAGAAACGAATCCAGGTCTTTCTGAGCGTCTTTCTGATGCCCAAGGAATCCACAGTCAATACAAAAAGGTTATGTTGAATATTCTCCAGAAACCGTCTTTCTGTCACACTCTTACTCCAAAAATAATCCAACAAATATGGTTCTGATACAGTAATAATCTAAAAGTGTACATCATTCCCTTAAATAAAGATGTAATGGAAACTCAACATTAGGGTATTTCCTCACATACATACTCTTCTGGTGGAATGCATGTGAACAAATGTATGAGAGTGTAAGAAATTACCTGAGAGGATTGAATCCCTCAGGGTCATTTCCAGTGTCTTGTAGAGGTGTTTCATATGGGCTGTACTGAATTACTGGCTCCCTGGAAAGGACCCACTTTACTTACACTCTTCCTCTCTCCATCTTTGTCAGGCTGAAATTTGCCAAGAAGATGAGCTGGAAGGGCACCTCTGAAGATCATCTAGTCCAAGTGGGGTCACCTAGAGTAGGTTGCTCTGGCTTTGAAGAGCTGCAAAATCTCCAAGTCTGAGAAGCCAAATATGCTATTTTTGAGATTAGGACCCAGATCTAGCCAACAATAATATACCTGCTTACTTCTGAGGCATGACAGAGTTATTTAGTCTCAGAAGAGGGAGAGAATGTGAAGACTATATACCCAGTCTGTGTACACAGGCTCACTGTACAGCCAGCCTTCAGAGATAGCTGGAAGCAAGACAGTGCTGACCTGGAAGCCACCTGGGCTGCTTGCACTACAGCACCGGGCTCAGGTTCAAGTAGAGCACTACCCCAATGGCAGCCACACAACTCTCTGAGAACACTGATAATGCTGATAACACAGAGGGGAAGGCAGAATTCGGCCATCTCCATCCACAGAACACCATCTAGACGGACTCCTGCAGTAACCTGCCTTCCAGGTCTGTGCTCTCTTATCTGTAATTTTAGGCTTTAAAGTGCAATTCTGAAAGAGCTGCACACACAACTTGGTGCTCTACAGACACGCTAGGCAGTACCAATACCATCAAAATGCACACAAAAATTATTTTTCCTCTTATGGCACAGGTTAAAAACACTTACCTACTCAATGAGAGCAGCAGTGAATATTTGTTAGGTGTTGTGAAACTCCTCCCCCTATTACAAGCACCTTGGCCAGGAACAAGGTGCCTCTTGGGAAGGAAGAGAGACCTTCTGTCTTTGTTGGGTCCAAATTGCTCCTCACCTGGAGGAAGATCAGTGCCCACTGTTCACTCTGTGTACCACACAGCAAGCCACAGGGTTATAACTAAACTACGGATTTAACTGTGCAGCTCTTGCCATTTTATAATTTGGTTTGACTACTGAATGCGTTCCCAGTTAGTGAAACTGCTCTTCAGAGGAGGTATAATTCCTAGTCTTTGTTGTTGTTGTTGTTGTCTTCAGAGTTCTCACACTCCTCTTTAACAATGAACCTACTTTGCCCACTCAAAAACTCAGTCAAGCTCAAAAAATAAAAAAGTTTAGAAACTTGGTGGTTAGAGTTAAGTGATTTTGCCTTCATAATGTTCCCTCTTCTTCAGGCACAACAGCAAACACCCAGCGCAAGTTAAGGAGAGTTTTATCAAACTTTTCTGTGCAAAAGTTTAGGTTTGCAAGAGTCTGCAAAGGCCAAAGTTTCATCAACAAAAGCTAAACTTTGCTCTCATTTTTGTTCCAATATGACCCACAGAGTACTTTTTTAAAAACTGGTATAACAAAAGCCTCCAGGAGAGAAGGTCATTCACAGACCTCAAGGAAGATCAGAAACGGTTGTATAACCTATTCTCCCATAATGGCATATCAACAAAGCAAAACTTAACAAATGTAACGTGATAGTTAAAACTGACTTTTCCCATGCTCAAAATCATTAGCAGATAACCTAACACTTATTGAAGAGATGTCTTCCCCTTTCGAGACTTCCTGATGCTTTATGTATTTCATCTGATTAATGCCAGTACAGGCTACTGTATAGCTGAATATTCTCAACCCTACCTCACACAGATGGAGAAACCTAAAAGAAAGGTAAATGATTTTTGCGAAGTTATAGAGGTGGACTGGGGTCACAACTGAGATTCAAGCTCCTCTAAGCGAACAGAAATATGGTGAGCAGTATAATGATATTTAATTTCTAGCAAAGAATAGACCTTGACCTCAATAATAAAACTTTTCTGAGCTCAACTACATGACTTGCATTTAGTATTTCCAAGGAAATTCTGTCCCAGTCAAAGCATTCTCCTTCATCTTTGACAGTCCTTTTGTCAGAGAGCAAGAATGTTCATTTCTGACCTCACACCATTTTTTTTTCCTCAGAAGGAAACACAGTCAGTCCTATTTTAGCATCTAGGTTAATTAGAGTAGAAAAAGGACCAGGACAGTTAAAATAGGAATATGCTGTATGTGTGTTCCTTCAATATACTTAAGGTGATCGGCAAACATTTACAGCTCTGTGTCAAGAAGTTCAGCTGAAGTGATTATGGAAGTATATGAGGCAAGTTCTTTTGAAAGTTAAATATTCATGCTATATTAAAACAATTAACTGAAGAACATTATTCATTGTGGTTTGTCTCAATCCTTACTTAAACATAAGCAAACATCCAGCTTTAATGCACTTTAATGTCTCCATGACATCTGAGTTTACTCATCATTACAAGGAAGAAATATGATACGAAAATTTTCCAACAATTTGTGTGAGACAAATGAAAGATGGGCAAAGGATATCTTTGTCATAAGGCTGCTGTATGTTAGACTGAAGAAGGGACAGTTCTACTCAAGTTCGTCCCCTAAACCAGGGTACTACTTAAAGATACTTTCTCATGTGAGAATGCTTCTGTAAAACCCTTACAAACAAGGAGAGAATTGCCTAATGAAGACGACCAATCCGAAGAGAACCCGTGGCGATCGAACCTTAAAAGGAAATACCCGATTTTGTGTAACCGCCTTCCCCTTGCTTGTATAAAAACCCTGCGTGCGACACCAGAGGGGTCCTTGGCAAGATTCCCTGTTTGTGGGTGAGCTGGGGACCCCAGCTAGCTGGTAATAAAGTTGGATCCTGCATCTATCGGCCTCTCTGCTTTTGTCTCGCTTGCGGGCTGGGGAACC